TAAAAAAAATAAAAAAATAATCTATAACTCCAAAGTTGAAGAATTAACTCAATTTATTTATATTCATCTCAAATCTCAATCATAGGATTGGGTGGAGTATCCTTTGTTCATGTTATGTAGCAGCATAACGAGTTTCGCACTTAAATGCCAGAGTCCAGAGAGGCCAAGCAACAAGAATATTTTCTTTTTCTTTTTTTCTTAAATACAGAAAATTGGCTTGTTTATAGGAATTTATTCGAGTATAATTTAATTTGGAGAGATCAAAATTGGATGAAAAGATTTACAAGTATTTGTTATTACTACATCTACCTCAAAATCTTTCTTAAATCTATCTCAAAATTTATTCATTGTGATCTTTTGATCGACTTTTTATTACTTTTAATACATTTATTAAAAGACTCGATATAGATTATTTGAAATACTACGTATATATTTTCAACATACAAAAGTATTAGCTTCTAATGAGTGTAATTTTAACTAATACCATGGTAAAAGGTGGTGCAACTATCTTGAAAATTAAAAGGAAAAGGTAGGCAAACAATTTTGTAATCAAAGATAATATTTGGAATATAATGAAAAAATTTATGCCAATTTTTTTTTTTTTTTAAAATGTAAATAATAGAAGTATATATGTAGGGGGTACAAAGCTGCAACTCCAGACTTAAATTCATTGCCCAGAAACACATGAGGACTGCAGTAGTGCAATAACAAAGAGGGTATGAAGTGGAGTAAAGAGCACAACTACTCCCTAAACTTAGCCAAAAGTTGCAGTTAGCTCTCTGAACTTTTAAAAGTTGTAAGTTACTCACTGTAATCTCTTGTGATCTTCATTTACAGGTTAATTGGTAGAGCTCCTTAAACTTTTTAACATAAAAATCAGCAACTCAACTTTCTGACATAAAAGTTAAGTGCACACCCTAAACTTTTCTATAACTCCCTAAACTTCCTCACATGATTTTTAATTAACTAGCCATTGCAAAAATACTGATAATAATAGTAATAATTAAAAATCGATTATTATATAAAAAAAATTTAACAACAGCTATATATATACTCCAATGCATTTTCGATACTCTGTTATTATTTTGTAAAATAGAAAGTGAAGAAAGCTCCCACAAAAAAAAAAAAAAAGAATTATTCTGTAAAATTGAAAAAAATGGCTACTATAGCAAAGTCTTTTTTTTTTTTTTTTTTTTTTGAATAAATAGCTAATTCTAGTTTTACTTCCTTTAATAATTATTTTCAGTCTGCTTTAGCTCTTGTCAAAAAAAAAAAAAAAAAAAAAAACTTAATATATAATACATATTAGTGACAAAACATTAAAACAACGGATCTTTTACCAAAATGGCTAATTTAATAAAAATATTTACCAAAACGTTATTTATTTATTTATTCATCTCCTTTGAATGGTTTAGTTCAATTTTTTTTGTTATTTTATTTATATTTTTGGTTTTTTTTTAAATTTTTTTTGTGTTTTTGGGCTTTTTATTTAGAAAATTTTATAACCACGTACTAATATAAGTAAACAACCACTATTAAGCAACCCTAATTTCAACATCACAAAAAATTCTAAACTTTTTTCTAGATCATGATCGTATCACAAAAAATTAGAATTTTAAGTAGTATTTTTTATCAACGCACGCAACTGCAAATTCATACAACGATGAGGGAATTATTATTATTATTATTTTTTTGTAAGGAGACAATAAGGGATTTTTAGCACCATGTTCTCTGCTAAAGTCTTCTAATTATAAAAGTTAATGTGTATAATAAATCAAACATTCAAACTAATTACTATGTGATATATAATGGCACACAATGAATATGCTCATCTTGTTCAAAGAACAATCTGATTCCTGATTGTTTGATTTGGTAAGTCATTCTTTCTATTCTGATGTTAATGTATATGGATCATCTAATAAAAAAAACAAACAAACAAAAAATACCGAACCAAACTAGTGCAAAGGAAAAAATAAATAAATAATTTCCTTACAAGTAAAAAATTTAGTTAGTTTTTTTAGAGTTCCCATTGGCTTACAAATGTATGATTAGATTGTTAAATTAAAAAATATAAAAAAAATACCAAAGTTTAGGGAGTTTACCTATTAGTACAATAGTTTAGGTAAAGTTTAGGGAGTTAACCTATTATATCAGGTTACTACCTGAAAAATGACCTCCATCCATCTGAGTAGTGAGTAACTTACAACTTTTAAGAGTTTAGTGAGTAAAGTGCAACTTTTGGCTAAGTTTAGGGAGTAGTTTGTATGCTTTACACGTATGAAGTGTGTGGGGACTATGAAAATTAAATTATGTTGTGCTATCTCTTAAGATAAAATAAATAAATAAATCAATTAAAATAAATAAAAATTAATGAGGTAAAATAAATGTATCCTATCAATTATGGATGAACAATCTGACATAGCCCACAAGGAGGATTTCATTTCATTCACTCGTTTTGGAAGAGGTAGTGTTGTAGACTTGTAGTGGAATGCTACTTTATTAATTTCCACACCCAAAAATTATAATTTGTTGAGTTGCATCACTATATGTAAACAGTTCATTTAGGGAAATCATTACTTCCACTTATAATACTTACATACTTTAGACTAATAATCTTATGCGATAAACATGCATATGTTATGTACAAGGAGTATATGATGTCCTTATATAATGGTTGTTTATGTGACCCTAACATGACCCCCTCATTCTTTGGTTGTGATATCTTTCCTAGTCTCATCTTAAAAATTACTATTACCTTAATATTTTGTAAATTTTGAGTATTCCAATCAAAAATTATGTTGATTAATTTAAAAGTCAGAAGGAAACAGTGTATTTATTTTATTAGTTAAAACAAATGTAACATTGATTATAAGTTAGGGTTGGACTTAATAGACCTAGTTTAAAAGATCAATTTTTTTTTTTATTTCAATCTATGTGTTGAGTTGCCCAATGATCGACTTGGTAATTTTTGCCCATTGCCTAAATTTAGGGTTATAAAACTATTCCTTAAACTTGACCAAAGTACGACATAACTTGAGATCAGACGTGTTTGATCAACTCTTTATGCATCACAAGATTGATCACCTACTTCTAAATTTCATTGAATATAATGTATGTATCACATATCTTTAACTGGGTTGTACATGTGTACTTATCACCTTTCACCCCCAATTCACCAAATAAACCATATATGAAGATTTATTTTGGTGGCCGGTAATTGCCAAAATTTGACCATGGAAAAATAATTATAGCTTGTGGAAGCAGAGTTGGTTTATGGTGCTTAACTCAAATGAAGTGATGGTGGTTGATAGATGCAAAAGGAGAATCTGTGAGGGCGAATGACATAGAAAAGTAGTTTTATTGGATATGTTAGAGACATTTTATTGTTTTAGGAGGATGCATAAGTAATAAATGAACTATCTTCAATAAGATGTTAAGAAAATTTAGGTTAATGATCCAATTTGAAAATAAGTGCATGATACAGTAAAGTAAAAAAAGATACCGATATGAAAAGGTTAGATAGATGGCTTGTACATCACATTGAGGAACGTGTACTAATGATTTTTCATGCAGTTACGGATGATAGATAATTTGAACGGTTATTTTTTAGATTCTGAATAGTATAACAAGTAAACCACCCTTTTCCTTTATTCCTGTTTCCGTTTTAGAAATTTAATTCGCTTGCCGTTACTTAATGAATAACTTCCATCTTAAACTATTTTGATAAGTTAGTATGTATAATACTCTGTGTTACATAAGTCCTAATATCTTTGAACCCTACATAGCCACGTATATATTGTTGATTGTGTTCATTGTAGTAATTTTTGTTGATCACAACATTATTAGTACAAAATTTTCACATCATTTATTAAAGTATAGAATGCAAAATTTTCAGCTAATCATCTATTAAAGCATAGAATATTATGGTTGAGGAGATTAACAAACACAAAATTAATGGAACAATAGGAATGATGTAAACAATTGTTGTGCATTTATTTTTTGAGAGCGATCTCTACTCCCATAATAGGAATGACGTAAATAATTTCACTACCTAATGCTTTCTTTGATTAATTCATTCTTTGAGTTCTTACAATTAATTAAATGATAATTTCAAGTAATAAAACTTGTTAAATATAATCTTATCTAACTTTCTACATCAAATAACGAACGGTTTATTGTATTGATAGTTTGCCAAAATAGTAGTCCATCCTTAATAGAGATGAAAATTGAAAAAAAACATTAAAAGATACCAAATCATGGAGCAGATTTAAGTATTTAAATTCTACATCAGAGAAGATCTTCAACAGTCAACACTACTCAACACTTAAAGAGTCAAGTACTCAAGTGTGACATAATGTAAAAAAATAAATAAATAAAAAGAAACCAAAAAAAAAAAAAAAAAAAAAAAAAAAAGAGAGAGAGAGAGAGAGAGAAGGACACCAAGCCAGCCAACTCAGTGTTTTTAGTTCTCACTCAACTTTAATCTCTTTACCTTATGACTTATGAAGCAAGCCAAATTGAGAACACTCTCACATGCTTCAACTCAATAACTCTCATACACTACTCAATTTTTTCCGAAAATATTACATAAAAAAAAAGAGAAAAAAAAAAGAAAAAAAATTGGGAATAAAAATAAAAATTATTATCTCCTTCGCTTTTTATTTATATTGAAAATTTGGACTTTCAGACTATTAAAGTACTCATCTTTAGCCATAAATTGTACTTAATGAAAAATATTATCATATAAGATTTTAGTCGATTTATTTCAATGTACTTGTAAATACATTTTATAATATTACTATTTTGTATTTTATACTCCGTATTCTTAAGGTTAAATAAAATAAAGATATTTATCCATACAAAAAAAAAAGATATTTATTATAGAGTAAGATTTAAATTGTATTTTGGGAAGTATAAACATTTTTCATGTTACAACAATTAAAAAACGGACATAATAATATTATTTTAATTAATTTATAAATACAAAAAAGGGGATAAAAAGTCTTCTAAGAGAAGAGGGGAAGCTCTTCTTTGGACCAGTCCCTCTGCTTCTGCTTCACCTCCCATTGTGTGTGTTACATTCTCTCTCTAAAAAAAAACTCTCTCTCTCTAAAAATAGTTTCTCTTTCTAACTCTGAAATAGAGGAAGCAGTGATTTTTATCAGAAACAAGTTTAATGTCCACCCACCCTCTTCAAAACTAACCTTCTCTTTCTTTCTTTCTTTCATTCTCTCTCTTCAAAAAAATAGAACCATTTGTTTCCTCTCATTTTAGGTGTGAATAATATAACACATTTTCCAATTTCATTTTACTCCCTTTTTTTCACTATATTTTTTTTTCTCAATTTCTGTTATTTTTCTTATTTGCAGTAGATCTATTACCAAATTTAAGAAGCCAAAATGAGCAAAGAAGAGTTCTTAAAAATTCAGGTAAAATAAATATAAATAAACATTAGTTTGATTTTCTGATTGTAGGAAGCATTTTTATTTACCCTTTTTGATTAATTTTAATGGGTTTTTGTTCATTTTCAGACTTGTGTTCTTAAAGTGAATATACATTGTGATGGTTGTAAACAGAAAGTCAAAAAAATCCTGCAGAAAATTGAAGGTAAATCTTCTTTCCATCTTTCTTCTGTAATTCTGTTTTATAATTTTTACTTTATGCTTTTCTTGTTTCTCAATTCACTGACCAGAACTCTCTCAGTCTGCTGTCCTGTCCGGATTTAATTGTCACATTGTTACTTCGAATTTCACTATTTACATGATTATTAATTCCGAATAGACGGACCGACAGTGTAGTTATTAAATTTAACTGTTGTTGAAACACGAGTAATTGATTTGGAATTGGAATTGAAACAGGGGTTTACAAGACTAGTATAGATGCAGAGCAAGGGAAAGTAACGGTTTCAGGAAATGTAGACCCAACAACACTCATCAAGAAGCTCAATAAGTCTGGTAAACATGCAGAGCTTTGGGGCGCTCCTAAACCAAACAATAATAACAACCAAAATCAACTGAAAAACGTAGATAATGGTGGTAAAGGCGGCGGCGGAGGTCAAAATCCAAATCAAAATCATAACAAAAATCAGCCGCAAAAGGGCGGCGGAGGTGGTGGTGGGGTTCCTCAAAATCAGCCGAAAGGTGGTGGTGGTGGTGGAGGACCGCAGCAGCCGAACCCGCAACAGTTGCAGCAAATGCAGCAACAACAGCTGCAGCAATTGCAGCAACAGATGAAGGGACTTGGAATGGGTGGAGATCTGAAAATGCCACCGCAATTTCAAGGAATGAAGATGCCGTCGAAAGATAATCAGCCGCAGTTACCGCAGCCGGGTGGGAAAGGAGTGAAGTTTAATGTGCCGGAAGATGACTTGGATGATGATGATGATTATGACGATGATGATTATGATGATGATGATTTTACGGATGATGATGAGTTTGATGATGAATTCGAGGATGTCGGTAAGATGAAACCGATGGGTTTGGGTGGTGCGGGTGCGGGTGGGGGTGGACCGCCGCCGAATATGATGATGAATGGTGGTGGTGGTGGTCCGGGTGGTGGGATGATGAATCCGCAGCTGATGAATGCTATTGCTCAGGCGAAGGCGAATGCTGCGGCCGGGGGTAATGGTGGTGGGATGATGAATCCTCAATTGATGAATGCTATTGCTCAAGCGAAGGCTAATAATGGTGGTGGCGGTGGAGGTGGTGGTAATAATGGTAAAAAAGGCGGTGGAGGTGGAGGCGGAGGTGGAGGAGGTAATGTTCCGGTTCAGATGAATGGAGGTAAAAAGGGGGGAGGAAATGGAGGAGGAAATAATAATCAAAATCAAGGAGGTGGGAAACAAGGTGGTGGTGGTGGGGGTGGTAAACAAGGCGGTGGGCCGATGCCGGGTGATTCTAAGAATGGTGGTAAAAATGGTAATGGGCAACCTCATGGTGGCGGTGGAGGTGGAGGCGGAGGTGGTGGTGGGAACATGATGATGATGAATGGTGGTGGGGGGAAGAAAGGTGGTGGTGGTGGGATGAATGATGGAGGATTACCACCTAATCATCATGGCATGGGAGGAAATGGAATGAATAACAATCCAAATGGAGGAGGGTTCAATCATAGCATGGGGGGCATGCCTGTTCATCATGTGGGTGGTGCCCCCAATATGGGCCAAATGCCACCAGTAGCCCAAATGGCGAACATGCAAATGGGCCCTATGGGCTCGATCCCGGCCGTTCAAGGGTTGCCAGCTGGCACCACAGCAACTGCCGGACCTGCTTACTACCATGGGGGCCCACCGCCGGAAATGATGGACCCCAACCCTGGTAACCCGTACCACCAACAAATGTTAGCTCAAATGATGATGATGAACCAACAACGAGCTAATGGGAATGAGCGGTTTCAGCCCATGATGTACGCCCGGCCACCACCTGCGATGCATTATATGCCCCCATACCCACCACCGGCAGACCCTTATACTCACTATTTCAGTGATGAAAACACCTCATCAAGTTGCAATGTAATGTGATAAAAAATTTGCCAAAAGAAACATGAGAGGGTGGTGTTTGTTCCTTGTTTGGTCATGAATCTCGGTGAACAAGGGTAGTTCTCTGCTCAAAGGGCATGCGGAATCTTGATAGTTTGATTAAAAAAAAAAAAAAAAAAAAAAAAAAAAAAAAAACTTACCATAAATGATGCAAGAAAAAACCTTTATTTTAGCTTAAATTTTCATAATTTCACCTTGTTAATTTTACTCCTTATTTTTAGTCCTAAGTTTTTTATATTTTCAGGATTTCAATTATCATAGAGGAAGGGTCCGTTATATATTATATAGATAATTTATATAAAAGAAAACAAGTTTGTAGTGGAAGATGATAATGTAAACTTTTAGGAGAGAATGAGAAGGGGACATTGTCCTCGTTCAGTGAGATGTTTATATGTGTTTATAAATGTTTTTTTTTTTTTACTCTTAAAAAAAATCCCATAATAATAAAAAATAATTATAATAAAATTAGAAAGGAGTATTAAATAAATCCCCTCTTTTTTCTCCTAATTCTTTGTTATAATATATTATTATTTGCTCAATTGTAAATGCTTATCTTCTTCACCAATACACTGTGTTTTGTAGTTAGCTTTAACTAGTTTTGGATGGTCCATGTGAGATATCACTATCTAAGTAGTTTCCGTTCATTATTATTGACCATTATTATTATTGTTATTATTAAGGCTAATTCATAAAAGAAAATGAAAATATTTTTGTAGGGTCTCAATCCATAAGTTGCGCTAAAGTGGATTAATGGCCCCATGTCCCACTAGCTTCTTTTAGCTAAAGTGTTTTAGGTAAATCAAACCCAATCTATTCAAAAGTTGGTGTTAAGCTTAGCAAGATACTATTTCATACATGCATTTTTAAACTTAGGTACGTCCCACGGGCCACAAGAAGATCGTTTATTTATTATTATGTTGTTTTTGGAATCTATGTTGATGTGTAGATGGGAGCACATAATTTAGAGAGTAAAAGTGTGCCACTATGCACACCCCTTTTGGTTTGTACGATTGTCTATATCAAATTTGCGATTGGTGTAAGAAAATGGCTAAAGATGACATTGGGCCGGCCTAGTTTGTTCCATGAAGCGGCCCAATATGGAATAAACCATTGTAACGATGGTAACGACACACTATGATATTGTGCGAGTTGTGCTTGACCACAGTTTTTGGAAAAAACACAATAAAACATAGCATGACACAACATGATAAATTATGCTACAATAAATAAAATTTACCTTAGACATGCAACATGACGCATGGTCTAGGGTTGTATCTGAGCCACCCTTTTGAAAATTTTAATATGGTGTGTAGATAGATAATGGAGTTAGTTGTTAATCAAGCCCATCTAGGCTCATGACACATGGGCTCTGCACACAAGGCACAATCCATGTCCATCTTCGATGCAACATAAATTCTACTTCCTCCGCTTCTTTATAGTTGCAACACTTTCCTAAAATGAAAATGTCATAATAGTTGCAAGACACTTTAAAAAGGAAGGTTTTTATGGTGAAAATTGTGCTATTACCTTTATTTAAAGCTCATGGCCTACTTGATTATTCTCCTAACAACCTCTTAGCTCCATTTTAAGTGCATTATATCATGTGAAGTCCACTTTTCTTAAATACCGTGATAAATTATGTGTTGTAACTATAAAGAAATGGAGGAGTATATTAGTAGAAAATGCAGCAAGTGTTCTTTTAGCTTCAAATCTAGTGATGAGAAACCTTGCTCTTAGTTGTAACAATTTCTCACCTCGCCTTGTTCTTAACTATATATGGTAACATGCTCATCTTATTTGCTTCAAACACCCATTATATTAATATGTTTGTTTCAAATTAATTAAATCCCGCTTTCATGTCAATGTCAAATCAACATTGACATGTGCCTTGGTTATGGGTAAGCATATCGGATATTTAATTAAAAATTTTAAAGACTTGTTAACCCAAAAATTGGTTCGTTTTACAAAATCAGACTTGGAAACGGTCAAACTGGTTCCTAAAATTTTAAGGACTAGACTAGGAATCATCAGGAACCGATTTTGGTTATGAATATCCGGTTATATATATAACTGTTTAACAAAATACAAACTCTAATATATTTTTGGTTTGTTTCACTTTTAAGCTTTTAATACATGTATATCTAGATGCGATGTTTTTGGCTATTTTAAATTTTCATAGGCTTCAATAATTCGTTTTTGGTTTCACTAATTTCATACATTCAGCATACCTTTTACTTTTTAAATAAACATATTATTATTTTTCAGGTAATCGTGACCCAAATAAAATATTTTTACTAGTATATAAAATATGATATAGTCAGATACTTACTAATTTTAGCTTTTTATCAGTTTCACATAGCTAATAGCGTATAATTTTAGTTAACTTATCAGTTTTGGCTTTTATTTAGGTATCGTTGTGAAAAATAAAAGACCTAGAAACTAGCATGTTGCAGCTATTTCGAGTGATAATATTTTATTGCCACTTTGGCATAATAATGACACAGTCGTTCTTGGCTTGTATTAGTTTGTTTAGTTTAATTAGACTTGCATTAGAGTTGAGCCCTCATAACATACTTGCTGTAAACATATACTTTTGGCCTCTTGTCCTCGCGGATAGTGTGATGATGAGGCAAAAACCCAGTTCACATGTTGGATCAATTCTAAGCTTCTATGAACTTTGAAATGCGAGATAAAAAAAATCTAAAACACCTTCAAGCCTAAATAAATTAATTTTCCCTAAAAGCCTAAATTAACCTCTATCTGCTTGTTAATTAGGTCCAAAATATGCTATACACATATTTAAGCACGCTTAATAACAGACTAAAACTCATTAAATACAACACCTAGATCAATTTGGCTAAAAAACTGAGTTGACTTGCTATGAAAATTCGATTGATGGATATCATGAGCCCAATTTCGATTTGAAACGAAGGAGAGATGAGCAAAATACTAAAGTGGGCCCAAAACTGACACCCTTGCACTATTTCGACCATGTCCTAAAATGTACATAAATTTTTTATTTGGTTTCAATTGGTTTATAAAGTAGACTTGTAAATCTTTCCAGCGATATATTATATGCCTTATTTAGAGTTCAAGATCTACAATTATATTATGGTTTTAAAATCGTCTGTTTCGAACAGGGCTGCGTGCGAATGACATTGCGCGTGACTGCCGCAAGCAAATTTACCAGAAGATCACATTATATTCATTTACCAAAAAAATTAAAAGATCCGGGATGAAAAAAGGCAAATGTCGCACGCGACTTTAAAGTTGCGCATAGTTGTCGTGCGCTACTTTAATTATTGCTCGCGACATTACTTGACGTGGCGCCTGATGAGCTTGTAACACTCTAGTTCCTACACCTAATACGATCTTAGATAAATTCGTAAAGGACATAAAAATATAAGAAAACACAATGAAAAAATACTCTAATACTTGAAGCGTTTTTGAAACCCTAAATATCTTAATATCTCTCTCTTCTATACCTAATTAATCATATTCAAAGTCGCTGGAAGAGGAGCCCGTAGACGGTGAAGCAAAGATCTAACAAAAGGAGAATTGATATGTTCCTTGATCACTTAGATCACAATTTTTTCGTCTAGATTATTATAAAAGAAATAGTGTTGTTTGACCACTTTAAATAGATTATTAATTAATTTATTTTCACTTAGATTCTTGCATTAATAAGACTAGAATTGGAGCAATTTAATTGTTTTATCACTTAAAAGGTCAAGCGCATTTTATTTATTTTTTTGTTCTTTCACGAATCAATTAATATGAATAACGATATTTGTTACAATGTAGATATTTGTGGCTTTTTGTACGTATATACATACAATCAACTAATTAGTAATTAGATTCATGTTACACATATTTGCCTAGTAATGAAACGTGAACGAGAAGAGCTGGTAGAGGCCGCTTTAGGGCTAAACAACCCACTTCTTATGAACAACTTTTTAGTACCCTCACTCCCTAACTCATCTTGATCTGGTTATAACAAACCTTTGGTGCTCGATCCTTCATAAGAACTAGAGAGGAACCCAATGCATCGCATTAAACCCTATTGCATACTACTTAAGGGAGGTACGAATGAGGTTTATGGTTTTTCGAAAACTCATTGGCAATACTTTACATACATAGTCCTACTAAAAATAGTGACTTGTTTCCTCTTTAACTATTTGGTCTCCCGAACAATAAAAAATTTAATTCCTCTAACATAAGCCCCGAGCTTTAAAATGCTTGGGCACGAGGAGGCGACCTTACATGGCACCCTCCTCACACTTGCTAATGGCTACCTATAAAAAGGTTATAAAGGTGCAATACAGCCAAAGAAGTAAAACTTGTTTCTATGAACCTTAATTCACCTTTGGTAGAAAGTTATTCAAATTTACTCTAAATCTTATTGATCCAACCCACATTACTGTTTTGTATTGGATTATTTTTAGGAAATTTTGTAAATAGCCACCTCTCAAAACAAACTATTTAGAACTAACCACCCTTTTTTTCAATATTTTAAAATAACGCCCCTTAAAAAAAAGGGTTAGATATCACCACCCATTGTCTGAGTTCGGCCACTTAACTGACTTGGGGCCCCACATAACAGCTAGTTTCTTCTTTTTATAAACCCTTTGCCTCGATTTTTTTTCTCTATCTCTCTTCTCATCACATGCATTTATATCGTTCTCTCTACATTCAACAGTCACAAATAAATTTTGCCTAAGATTTCATATTACCTTTCAAATTGCAAATAATAAGATACGAAAGTAGTAAGTAATAGGGTCCTGATTATAAGGTGAACTAAACATAGCTTGACACAGTTTCATCATTATCAAGCAAGACTAGGTTTATCACGCTCCTTAATGTTTATCAAGGGTTAAAATGGTAATGAATAGTATCTTAACATTCTTACTAACACCGTTTGTTGCCTAAAGCACCTTCATCTTCCTTGGTCTTCATCATCAGATTCACAGTACACACTCCCACCTTCACCTTCATCCTCACCCATTTGCATGTTCTTCTTTCTCCTCTTACCCACACCCACCTTCATGATCACCAACACCACCATGTCATATTGCTGGGAGCGGAATCTTAGCAATCCACAAATTAGGAAAAGATCAGTTAAAGGATTAATTACA